CACGCACCTACTTAATTTACATTTACAGCAGGGCACCTTTAAATACTACCTCCTCCCTTTAATATAAAAAATAATTAATTAATTAATTAGTGTAGATTAAAAAATTAAATAAATTGATTCTTTGTAATAAACATGTTTTTTAAAATATTTTTACTAATTATATGTATTAGCTAGAACTATTATTTGATAAAAATTTTATCATGTATAACTACTATAAAGATTATCTTGTAAAAAAATAAATAAATATAAAAGATTAAAAAATTGAGGTATTATATTTAATACTAAATTAAATGTAAAAGCAGCTCTTATATTAAAGAAAGTATGTACTTATAAATTAGAATTATTATTACAGATTTAAAAAAACATAAAATTAAATACACTAAATTTTTTTGGCCAACAAGGTATTACTGCAGTACAAAGTGGACCAAAAAATTTGCAACTTTTAATAAAATAAAATTATTGAACTATTCTTTTACAAACACAATTATTACTAAAAATCAGCACATGTTAGGTGAATTTTTAAAAAATAAGTTGCATTTTTAATTATATTTATATTTTATTTAAATAATTATATTTTGACCAGCATTTAAATAATTATATTTATTTATTAATTAAACAAAAGATTCAATTCTTAAATTTTACAATGAATTAAATGACATTTAAAAGTCTTCTTTATTTTGACCCGAAAAGAGTCCCTAACTCCTTAGTTAGTGCCACTAGCTTATTGACAACTGACAGTCAAAGTTTGTTTCTTTCTAATTAAAAGTTGCTGGATAGATATTCGTGATCTAAAATAAAGTATATGAGGTATGGTTCTCCAAATCCAAAGGGGGGAAAAAGGAAGTATTGACGTGAAATTTGCACGCACCTGCTTAATTTACAGCAGAGCAACTTTAAATTTGTATTCGTAAATTATACCCTTTTAGCCTTAAATATAAATATAAATATAAGGCTGAATTTATAATTACATTAACAAAATTTGATAGGAAAATTAAGAATAAAAACTGATTCTAGTTTTCTTCCTCCCCGAAAACAAGTTGTTTCCCGCCACTCAGCAGAAGAGCGGAGCGTGAGTGCTTTTCCTGATCCTGGAGACTAGTTCTACAGAATCAGGAAACAAGAATGGCAATCCGGCGTTGGAAGAAGAAGAATGAAGCGCGTAAGGAGCTAAATCCAAAAGCTGCAGAGCGCCAGAGGCTCAAAAGACTGGCCTTCTCTAATGGAATAATTTCTGAGACACCAGCCGAAGCCTCTCGTCGTCTGAATCCTTCAAACAAGTGCTTAAGCACCTCGGCAAAAGACATTGTCAAGAAATCCCAGCGAAGGAACAAGTACCTCTTCTCATTTCCAGGTCACATTGCTCCCATCGGCCGCCGCGGCAAGATCGATGATCTCAAGGATTTAGGAGCAAAAAACCCATTCTCTACGTCGATTTCGCTCAGTTTTTTCAACGTTCTCCTTCAACGCATTTTGTAGTTTCAATTTATGCATTTGCTGTGTTTTTGGTTCCTACGGGTATGAAAGCGGAAGTTGTAACATGGACATTGGACTGCCAATTTACTCAGCCTTCAATTCGAATCACTATTTGTGGTTGCATGTTTACAGTATGAATACGCTTACTTGCTCACTTTTAAGCGCATTTTAAAGATGGCCGTTGATTTATTAGTGCATGTTCCTATATGCTTGTTTGGTTTGGTGGATAGCAACCAGAGGGTAAAAGAGGAAATATATATTTCTTTCATTATTTTTTATTTTGGACAATCTTGAGCACTCTGTAAATTTGAGAAGTGTGAAATTTTAATTTCCTACAGTGGATCATCTGATCTGATTCATATTTACTTCCGTGTTTTCAGGGCCAAAGGAAGTTATTTGGAACCATCTTATATCCAAAGAACGGATATCTAACCTTGCAGTTCTCCAGAGATGGAAGAAATGCACTGTGCGAGGATTATTTTGATAATATGGTTGGTTTACTTCCCTTCCTGACTATACCTTTTCTCTTCCGAACTGATCTTTTCGTTTCAGTTTTAACTCTGAGAGCTACGAAATGGATTACGGAAGTTAACAAACAAGCTCAGCATTCTGATTGGATTCAACATGGACAAAAATTGTAAGTCTGCTGATGTAGGCATGAATTATGCTTGAAGCCATTAGGTGAAACTCTGTAAGATTGCATTCTCTATAATTTGCATTTATCCCTCCCCAGCGCGCCTCTCGGGCCTCGGCAGAGGTTTATGCATGTAATAATCAGGATATGTGCTTTGAGAATCTGAGCTGATATCTTTCGCCTGCAAATCAGGAAATATATATATATATATATATTTTCCTTAATTGTGTCATATGTATCGCATTTGACAACTCTGCATTTTTCTTCCCTTTGACAATTCTGCATTTTTCTTACCCTCATCCTCTTGTGGCTTGTTATTGTTCCTAAACTAACGGTTATGGGCTATCATTCCATTCAGCTTCTTCCTGCCAACGAATCCGTGTTTGTTATTCACAATATCTAGATTTCTCAGATTTTATTTTCAGATGCATGGTGGGTTGGAAGGAAAGATGAAAACCCTGAAGAAACTAGACTTGATTTTCCAAACGAACTGTATGAGGTAAACATTGTTGATCAATGACAGTTGCGTATGGCTAAATGAGAAGCAGCTTTTACTTCCTCTTATATGGAATGAGGAGTAATGACAATAAAATCTTTTAAGCTGATTCTTGACTATTTTTCCAGGGACAACAAGCTGACTATGAGTTTGCAGGTGGAGCTGGTTCCACATCTGTAGCCACTCAACGTGCTCTGCCAAAAATAAGATGCAGCATGCAAAGGAGCAGCCAGAAACACCTGAAAATTATATGTCAAAGAGTGAACACATCTTGAAAGATACGAAGGAGGTGGTTCCAGTTTATCACTCAGACAGAGCTTCTGGAGAAACATACAAGTATTAGCCTTTTCTATATTAATTTACTTGTTGAGATTTGATTTCCCGCCATGAATTCATGAGAAATTTATATTCCCGGTGGTATTAAGGCATATGTCACGTATACTGATTGAGTGGTCTAGTTTACCTAATTAAATTACACTAAGTTTTTTAAACTGTGCTGGCTGGCTTAAGTTGAAATTTGACATCTGGGACGGAAATGCATACTTATTTGTTTTGTTGTTTTAGATTTGAGGAAATTTCTTCTGGTTTGGATGGTCCTGATGTTTCTGTGCGCAAAAAGGAGGTGGAAGCTAAGACTGCTGTGAATGATCATAATAGTTTCAGTATCCTTATAATTGATTTGTTGGAGAATTTCAACAATTTTTTCTTTTGGATTTTATGTTGAGCCTTGAGGTCTTTGCTCGCCAATTTACATGTATTATCAGAAACACATTGACCTTACATTCTGTGTTTTTGGTGCAACTCTACGTTATAACTTTAATTCATAGACACAGAAAGGAAATCCATATGCTCTTGCAGTTGATCTTGATCATGATAATGCTTTGAGAGGAACTCGAGTCCTTTAGAAGAATAGAAAGTCTGCTTCGGGATCTAAGTCCAGGAAATTGTTTGAATGTTCTTTGATGACTCCATCTAAAGAAGTCTTGTTTGGTAATCACGCTTCACTTGTTCAGGCTACCATATCCACGTTGTTCAAGAAAGTGGAGCAGGAGGTAAACTTCAAGAATACTAACATGGATGTCAAATGCAACGTATCTGTGAGGAGAAATGTGAGAATGGTTCACACCTCTTGCATATTTTATGAATTTCAACTATTTTCATGTCAATATTAAGCGAATCTTTAAGTACAAAATAACTTTATGTAAAATGGCCAGGGAAATAACTGACTTCGTTTTGCCAATGGAAAAAGCCAACTTATTAGCGATGCTTATTGGAGCAGGAATCTAACGTCGTACATTACAATGTAGGCTGGAAATGATGACGACATTGAAGAATTTTTTAGTACTTCAAAGGTAATTATTGATGAGATTTCCCATGCTGGCTTTCATAGGCATTCACCCTCACGGCCACTAAACCCTTTTTTTCACAGTTGATAATTTACAGCAGTAATAGACACTCCAAACCTGATATTTTCCTGATTGCATTTATATTTGTTTTATTTAGGAAACCGACGGAAGCAATGAAGATTGGACTCATTGAGAGCGTGATGTCCTTTCCCTCGTTAAAATGGTTGAACAGTAATGGCTTTGCCGAACACGCCTCATTCTAGCTTATAAACGAGGAAAACAAATATACCATCGAGATTAGGAGATAGAATGAAATTCTTTTAATGTTTCCTTCTTTATCATACTGGGATTCAATGGACAAGCTTATCTTCTTTTAGTGTTACATAGGCAATTTATTAAAAAGTGAGAGAGTCACCACATATCGGTTGAGGCATTAGATAAATATTAGAAGAATGGTTAAAGTGCAAATTTGCCCTGAAAAGTTTCACTCAGGAGTTCTGGATATCCGGAAGTTTTTTTCAAACAAATTTGTCCTGGAAGTTTAAAACCGTAGCAATGTTACCCCTTGCCATCAAAAAACTAACATTAACCATTAAAATAGTGACATTAACTGTTAATATTTTTAATAGCAAGATATAAATAATATTACTATGATTTTAAGCTTTTGGAGCAAATTTGCTCCTAAAAAAACTTCCAGATATCCAAAACTCATGAATGAGGGCAAATTTATACGTTAACCCTTAGAAGAATTATGGAAGATTTAATGCTTTTCTTAAGAATACCTTTTTTAAAGAATAGAATGTATATATTTAATGGATATTTTCAGCTTGATTTCTTCTGACAATTAATTTTTCTCGACAATGCTTGAGATCACGTGCCTTCCCCACTCTAGTTGTATTGTTTTTCTTCTCTTATATTTAGACATCTATCTGAAAACATGTTGATCAGGAAATTACTGAAGTTGGTGACTGTCAGTTCTGTCTTGGCGGAAGAAGATAAGTAAAAGCTAATCCGCAGCAATAATATCATAAAGAGTGAAATTTATACGGAATTTAGAGAAAGCATATTTGAAATCGAAGTCTTCTGGAAACCTCAAATCACAGAATGCAATCTAAATTTGTGCACATGTACTCCTTTTTCTATGATATATCTGCTTTATAACATACCACTTTTTTTCATTCTTCATATTTTAGTTGCTTCACCTATGTTGGTTCCTGGCACATCTTTAACTTCAAAGTTGATAATTAAGAAAGATGTTGCCCAGCAGATTGACAGACAAGATGGCACAAGATATTGATACAAAGTCAAACTTTGCCTTAAGAACCTAAAAGATTGTCAACCCTTTTATTTGTGGCTCTGGACAAAAACTTCATGCAAATTGGTGGCTTAATCCCAGCAAGAGCAAGTATTGAAGCAGGTATAGTCCATATTCCATCACCACATATCAAACCAGAAGCAACTGCTGGCCCAAAAGCATCTGCTTTTGCCTTGTTTACCTTCTGCCAAATGAACAATATCAGACTTCCTACACACATGTCAATGGCAAAATATGGCCCTAAATAGAAAGGTATGGCCATTGCCATTGGAAATGGTATGAACCACCCTCTCTGACCCATCAGGTCTTTAATCAAATTTATGAGAATGGCAGAGCCAAAGAAGACATAACACAGCAGTAGGCAGTTCTTTGGTAGAGATGAGAAGCCCTCTACCCCGAGGATGGCCATGTTCCGGTACAAAATAGCATATGGAGTAGGGTATTCACTTTTAGGAGTCCCAAGGTCATCAAATGCTTTGTAGAAAACCCAAAAGACACAAGGAGAAATCACACATCCCATTGCAGTGCCAATTATTTGGCTCACAAACATGGAGCGTGGTGAAGCTAGGGTAAGGTAGCCCGTCTTGAAATCTTGGGTGAGGTCGGAGGCCGTGGAGACGACATTCATCATCACCCCACAGGCTGCCAGGCCAGCAAGAACCCCACCATGTGATGCTCCAGCCCATGCTCCAATTGTAAATATGGCAAGCTTTCCATAATTGGATGCAAGTGACCAGTCCGTTAGCCCACAACCATAAGCGTTACAGAATGCTAAGGTTGGAGCTAGAAGGTAGATAACCAGCATGTAGTACCATTTTAGTTGGTGAAAGATGTGTGGAAGAGTGATTACTGAGACAATAGCAATTGAAACGTAGCCTGCAACTGCAAACCATGTGGGAATTTGATCCTTGAGAAAGAGTTGGGTGCGGCGCTGGAAATCAAAAGATTGCTGAGGACCTGAAGGAGAGTTTTGATCTGCAACAGGAAGAACATTTTCTTGTCGTCTGTCCCTGATTTGTTGATACAAGCCAGTGATGGTATGGCCTAGCGTCTTGAAGAAGTTATATAAACCATCTCCTAGGATCATGGATATGGCTATGAATACCTGAATTCAAGGTCAATAGATAGTTAGTAAACATAGTGGCAAGAGCTGTTCAGGGCTTAGGCTGCTCAATTATGGATTTGCACTTGGAACCTCTTAGATAAGTGATTTTGTAAATTGTTCAATTGAGCAATTTGAGCTATCTAGATTTAATTTAGACAATTTAGATTTTTTTTTTGGGGAAGTTTACCGTGAGGAAAGTGTTGTTATTACGCATTTTGGCTTCCCTTATATATGCATATGGACATAAATGGCAGGACATATACAACGTAGACCATCCCTATAAAACTTAGACAAATCACTAAATTGAATAGTACAGACGATCTCTTAATTTAGAAGATCCAAGTTTAGATACTGTGGGCTAGGTGAGGCCCAAACTTTATCCATAGGCTTGTGTCATCTTCTAGCATCTAAGAATGAGCCGAAACTAAAAAGCATTACAACAGGAATACAGAGCAATAAGATGCTTTGCGTTAAGAAGCTTACCTTGTAACCTTCAAGACCGTGCATGTTGTTTTCGTCAAGGCCTGGAGGGTACCAATCACCCATTTTGTTTTCTATAAGAGGCCACATTAGCCCCCAAGAAAGAATTCCTCCAAGGAGCAGTGATATATTGATGATATGTGGACAAATCATTCCCACTCCAACGTAGATTGTAGAAAAATCAAAGTAAAACCTGCGAATAACTAAAGGCTGAAATGAACTCTCCTAATAGTTGAAGATGATGCTGGTCTACAATTTACTTTTCCCCAATTAAATGAGTGTCATTCAAAAGGAAGGAGATGTGATGGCTTACTTGTACTTGTATGCTTTCAGCCCCATCGAAGGGAAGGCTTGAAATCCACAATCATCAGAAGCAGTATAGAACCATTGAAAGAAACCCCATAAGAAACTGAAAGTGAAGAATTTTCCCAACACTTTCACTTGCTTCCTGGAAGTAGTATAAAAGAACTATTCAATTAGTTCGGATTTTTAACCTCTGCCCAATATTTGATTTTGTAATTTCCCTTGCAGTGCCTTACTTTGCTAGTTTGGCTCCTTGAGGAGTATGGAAGCTGTTGATTAGATGAGCAGTTGCAGTCCCACTTGGATATGTCAATTTAAAGTCAATGATCATAATCTGCAACATACAGCAAAATATGATTTTTTTTTTCCCAAAAAAGCTAAAGTGGTAAAGACATGAACCATTATGCTACTGAAGTATCTATAAAGAGATAGAGAATATGCAGGTTTTCTGATTTTAATTAAACTATAATTATTGATGGATTGTTCAAAAAAGAAATAGCAATTTTGCATCACACCTTCCTTAGAGGCACAACCGAGAAGAGGCCAAGAAAGCTAACAATAAAGAGAAATCCAAGTATCCATCCTATTGCTGGGTTCTTGAAATCAGTTCTGTTTGAAGATAGCCGGGCTACCCGTTCACTCATTCCGAAGAGGTAACTCCCAAAGCCGCCTGTAATAGAATTTCTATATCATATATTGGCATATCAAAGAACATATAACTTTTGAACAAAGTCAATCATATGATGCAGGAACTGTCAACAACATTCACCTGCTATGTTTTCTTTGTAAAATATGATAATAAATACTCAAATCCCACACCAAAAATTTGTCATTAACTTCCAGTTTGGATCTTAGCTTGAGATTTACTATTCATTTTGCAATCTAAGATGAGAGGTCAGTCATCAAAAAGTTGAGATAAATTACATTAGGGACTATGATACGTTGTGAAAGAAGATATTACCACTGAAGGCTATGCCAGAGGAGGCAACAACACAGGTCTGGATAACAGTATTCTCCTGCCTTGTAAATGGCTGCCTTAACATGCCTGACTTACTCAAGAACTTAGTCCAAGTGTTCACAAAAAAGAAACCCAAAAGGCCAGCAGAAACGTTCAGTGAAGGTATAATCCCAGTGGTGAGGTTCAGTTTCATCACTATGAAACAGAACAGTACACTTAGCACAAAGCTCACCACAAAGGCCCTTATGGTTAGCTGTTTTCTCCATGATGGAACCTCTTGGTTCTGGAACACCTTCTCCACAGAAAGGTCTTCTTTTTCTAACTCCATGTCCTTCTTGTGATTCTTCTCTTCTGTTTGAGCCATTTCTCTCTTCTCTCTATAGGGAGTACAGAATGTGTTAGAATCTTGGGATTTTGTAAAAGGGTTTGGGATCTCTCGTGGGTATGAATCTTGCGGAGAAGTTTGGCTAAAGTTGAAAGATACTGCACAAGGTTCATTGAGTATTTATTGAAGAATATCAGCATCATCAACTTGGAATAGTGTGTCTGACTTGGATAAGAAATGGATGCTCCCAACGGCTCATTTAATAGGACATGGAAATTTTGTGTCGGAGTGGAATTGAATCCAAGCGGAGAATGACTTCATCTCGGAGACTTTCGGCCCTTGTGGAAAACTAAGCAATTTTTGGCCCACGAAGGGAACGTATTTTTTGTTCGGAGTGAGAAAAACTGAAGTCTTTGCTCACGATTCACAAGTTCCAAGTCAATGGAATACTTTTCTTCATTTTTGGAGTAAGGGGACATTAAATGATTGGATGGTATGACTGTATTGTGGATTTATCTTTCACTATTTTTGATATTATATTCCATTTTTAATTATTAATTTATCGTAATTAATTATTCTTACGGGATAGGATTATTTATTGTTTCGAAGAAGAGGGAACAAGCGATTTTTGTTCAATTAGGAGAGTTTAAAATGTTAGCTCTATTGACGTCAAAGTGATTAACTTCTGATAACCAATAATTTCCACTTATTCGCTAGTTGTCACGTGAGCTTTATAAAAATCTAAATTAATTTTGAAGTCAATCATTGATATCTTATCAGGTCCAGAAAAATTGACATCGCACCATGAATCAAAGTATGTTTTCATTCTTGCGGCCAATCTCTGGGGCCCTTCAATTATCTGTCTTGGATGAAATTTGAATAAAGGAAATACTGAACATTGCCGCAGATATTAAAGTCACTTGATACTCTGTTTGAACAGAGAGAAAAGGATAAAAATAAAATAAAGAAAAGAAAAAACTGAAGAAATAATGCAATGATTCCTTGTATTTGGATTGATAAGAGAAATCAGAAAACTCAACAAAATGAGCAAATATTGCAATGATATTTTTGTGTAAAAATTTAAAATATGTTATGCCTCGTGATTATCTTTATCAAAATAAAATATTGAAGGCAAAAGATATATTAAAAATTAATATCACCAACATATTTTAAAATCGATATATATACACACACACACATGTATGTATAACAGACGGCAAACAAACGTGGTAACAGTGCTGTTTCAGTTGGCATTCCTAAACTGTGTTTATTGTTATGGAAGCATATTTAAGTAAAGCGGGGGAGAAAAACAAAAAGAAGCATTGTAAGGCAAGTAATAAGGAACTATGAACTGATTTATTATAGAAAAATTTCCAGTAAAACTGGTAGTTTCTATCAACATCAGCACTACAAGAGAAGGAAGAACTAGATCAGTATCGGATAAAATAAGAGCAATAAGGGAAAACTATGTTATGTACAAATGGATTATTCAGCCTTGGATGCAACTCAATTGGCCACTTCTAGTTCCTACCTGAGATCAGATCCTATTTGAAGGCAGCCAAAATTATTCGCATCTACAGAGACTACTCGATCAACTATGATGGGGAAAAACTACGAGATCTCACTAGCGCCGCCTAGAGAGGAAAAATTCATAGTCAGGATGTACACTTGTGCAGATTGAATTGCCCTTGTTGACAATAGATCTTGACATGAGAGATGCAGTTTCTTCCAGAGTACGTAATCGCTCTTTAAGAAGTATAGAAGGGTTTAAGCCCAGCATTTCTGCTGCTTGTGCAGACTGACTCAGCTGGAACCAGCATTCACCCTGTTCATATGAAATCAAATATATCCATTCAGCCTATGGTACATCAAATGACTAGTAGGAAGTGTAATCTCATGACGAAAAAATGATAAAATGAAGCACAAGGGAATCCGCATTTAGAATGAAGATGGAACGTAGAGAAGTTTTAAGCTTTTGATATATATATATATATATATATATATGTATGTATGTATGTATGTATATGAGAGAGGAACACGGGTATGCATGTGTCTGTGTATTCAATAAATCAACACGAGTGGTTAAACAACATGAAAAAATTGAAATTTTGAGCCATGTTGCAACATTTCAAACCAATGCATCATGAAGTATGATTCATACATCGTATCAGATGCATGTTTGATTCAGGTATGTCTTTCTTTTTAAAGTGTCCGAACAAAACATTATAAATTCTCTAATTGTTGTTTCTCATATGAAGAAGCGATAGTTTATAAATCTTCCATAAGTATATTTTCACCATTTGTATTCTGGAGAGCAGAGGGAAAGCTCCTCCTTCACCTTTATGATTTTCCTTATGATTTTATGTTTCCTTCATTGTCTATTTGATAGGGGCAAATGGCAATATATATAACCAAAAAAAAGTTGCAACTTTGAAAATTTTTGACATTAATAAGCACCTCGTAAAAGGCTCCCATCCTTATCAAAAAACCCCCACACAGTACTCAGACGAACAGCATATTCAAATAAATTCCAGGAAGTAATTGAAGCAACATAATTAGTACCTGGGCATTGTAACTTTGAAGACCCACAACTGGAGAAACTATGCAAGAGTCTAAAGTAGGTGAATCATTCTTTATACTTCTCTGAACCAAATGTCCAAGTGAATGGTAAGTCAAAAAAGCTGCACGGAAGTTGCCATATGGTATGCGGTATATAGGATACCATGCCACAGAGAACCTGCACATTAAATGGTCTAAAATGTTACAAAATTTACTTGCATATTACCGTGCTTAATTATGGTCAACTTGTCTTACAGCAGATATAGTGTATACTTTCTACCAATATACTGAAGTAAGATTGACACGCAAACCACTAACCAGGATCTAGGGTGAAGATCTTGCAAGTTTACTGAATCCAGTATAGTAGGATCCCCATACATCCTGGACTGCGAGGATACAGAACCCCTTACCAGCTCTTCTATCCTGTAAGGGGAAGATCAGGATCAAATTAAACGTCAGCTGACAAAAATCAGCTCTTATCATAGAAGAGGAAATGTAAAACTATAAGGAGCGTCAGCAAACAACACAGGCTGGAAAACATTTTTGTCTAGTCTCCTCAAGTACCCCCTCCCTCAACCGCCTAAATGGATCTAGTGATAAATTTTGTTGACAATGACATCCATTTCAGGAAAAATTATTGATTCAATCATGCGCTTTATTTTTCAGATGCGCAGAATTAATTACACAAAGTGCCACAAATGATAGTATTAAGTGCCAAATTTGACCCTGTGCTTGTTCAATTGCAAATTACTTGTTCAAATATTAAATGTCAAGAAAAAAATATCTGAGCTGGAAACAAATCTTGAGTAGGATTTCTCCTTTAAAAGTAGCAAAATGACACAAGATCCCCCCCCCCAAATAGTTGATTTCCCCTTTATGCAGCCTTCCATCCTGGCCATATTTTTCTCCCCAGAGCAACCACTGTTATAAAGTAGCAATTAACGTTGATCATGCACCTTGGAAGTGATTTTTAGCATGGTATATACCGATGCATAGTATAACTCAAACTATATATCGCATCTAGTGTTAATGTGTTAGGAGCAGGACATGGAACTAGCCTATAAAAGGATCACAGGTTTGAAAGGAAATGGAACAACCAGAAATAATCCCTCTTGTTAAAGTAAATTACGACAATAATCAGTGTTTTCTATTTAAAAAAAAAAACATTTATTACTCGTCATAGAGCAATCAAGATGGTTAGAACTGTCTATTCTAAAGGAGAGGACCTCATTGTTCTGAGATAGACCAAACAAGATAAATTTTCTTACTTCTCATATAGAGGCTGCCTTTGCTGAGGTTGTTCACATTCAAAATATTCAAAAAGAAGCTCTAAGTCACCATAATATGATGAGTTGATAGCTGGACCAGACCCATTATCTGTAGCAGATGAAGATAGTTCAGAACAATGCATTTGACTTTTGGGAATTGGAATGTTTGCATCCCGATCCTGAGGCTGAGGAAAGCCTACAGAAAAATTTGGATGTTGACAAGCAGATGAGTGTACAGGCATGTCCCTGATTTCACAAGCCTCTGAAATGTTACAATCACCAAAATTGTCTCTGCTAGGCATATATTGAACTTTGTGGTCTTTAAATAGCTGCACTGCAGATAAAGAAGGAACAAAATATGCACGGAATGGAACATGACTGCCACCCAGTCTCCTTGAAGTGCAATCCAGAGCTCTTATCTCTAGCCCATAGCTCCCATGTTTCTCATACCATTGCCACATGCATCCCAAAGTTAGGTCAGGTGTCACATGTCTGCAGAGCGTTGCGCTGTTAGCTGTGTCTTGTGGGAAGGTCAAAGAACTGAGGGAATGGGAAGATTGGCAAATAAAAGGACTACATTTATGAAGTAGTCTTTCAACCTCTGCAATTGGGCCACCAGTGGCCATGTGTACACCTTCACATGCTACTTGTAATCTACAAGCATCATTTATTGCTTGAGTGATTCTGAACGAATAATTTTCTGATGCTCCACGATACTCATATTCATTAATTGAGTGATTATCAGCTACATGCTTGTCTTCATGCTCTGATATATTATTAGATGCTACCTGATTCCCCAGTTCTTTATTCTCATCCTCATCTAGACAAGAAAAACTATTGGAAATCTGATCCATGCATGTTCTGTTTTCATTTGATAAAGAAACCTGTTTTTCTGAAAAGGAGACCTCTTTTGGTTCAGCATTGTTTTCATTTAATAGAGAAACCTTCTTTTCTGAAAAGTAGAGCTCTTTTCGTTCACTATCTCTTTCCAATGTAGAATTCTCATGCAGTTGTTCGTCAGAACACTCTGGGGTTGAACTATCAGATCCAGATGTGGCCATCCCTGTATCCTTCTTCCCAATTGGTATCCATTTCCAGAGGATAGATCCGGAACTGCTGTTTTGCACATTGTAAGCTGCAGAGGAAGCTTCTTTCTCTGTTTGATCAACCTCATGACCTGAAAGATGGGAATGAATTGGAGGCGGCTCCTCTGACACACTAGATTGGTCGATGTCATCAGAAGGTGTTGACAAGGAGCTATTCTGATTTTCTGTATTTTGATTCTTCATGGTTGAAGTGTTATGCAAGACATCCTTTGGTAGATCTGAATCCTCCAGATGAAATTGTGCATTGTCAACTGATTCAGATGTTATCTGTTGATTTCCTTTGGTTTCAAGCTCATCCTTTGGAGGATTAAAACCAGAATGAGATTCAGAGACACTGCCTGATACTTCTTGACTATTTTCTTGAGATGAGACATGTGGCATGTCATTCAGTCGAACACTAACATCTGCATTATCACTAAAGATGGACCTGTTCAAATGGGATCCCTTCCTTGAATAACTGAGGTATCCTTTTTGTGAATCTGAATCCATTTTCCATTTTGATTTCCTGTTAACTTTACTTTTTGAGTGTTTCTTAGTATCTGTTTTAGATAGACTATTTGCACAATCAGAATTGCAGTTCCTATTGACTGAAGGAGCCTTTTTCAAACTGGAATCACACTGAGGCAAACTTGCATTCACTTTTTTTGCATCACCATTGCATTCATCGGCATTATTCTTTTGAACCTTTTGCCAGACAGAATGGCTGTTTTCTTTTCCTGTACGGCAATGGAAATTTCCAGCACCAATTTTGTTGACACAACTCTGGGATGTTCTCTTTTGCTTGACTCTCTTATCACCACTGCTGCAGTTCTGAGCACCATACCTATTTCCCTCATTATGGTCAAGGTCACTACCAACAGCATCCAATAAGCCTTGGCTAGCGAGATATCCATCTTCCGACTTTGAAACAGGTGGTTCTGAACAACTGGTTCTGCAAATTGCCTTGTTGGATTTCTTTTCAAAAACTCCAGTATTGGTACTTGCATCACTGTTTGAAGCTACAGAAACTGAATCCAACACCGAAGAGTCTTGCATACCAGGCAAATCTCCAGGATACAGGGCAGAATGATTCTGTTGCATGTCCTTTGTAGTTCCATCGGCCACTGGAAACTCCGAGGCATTGTTTGGGAGTTGATTCTTTGAGTTACGGATGGCAGATTCTCCAGTAGATTTCTGAACCACAGATGAGGTAGCTTCTGGCATATCCGCCTCATCAGTACTAGATGTGCAAGTTTTTGGTGACTCAGCCAGATTATTTCTGTTATCCATCCCATGCCTTTCAGAATCATTTTGAATTAATTTATGATTAGAAGATAAAAATTCTGATCCATTTGGGTAAGAAATCAGCATGTTCTGATCATCCGCATCATTATTGGCACAAGCTTCAGGAGCCAAGCCTGTACAACCATATGCCTCAGAAAGAACTTCTGGTTCAGTTGAGCTACTATCACTCAATTGCTTCTTGCTCTGTCTACCTTTCTTTTTTGCCTTTTTTCTAGAATTTTTCTTCACAGATTTGTCTGCTTTGAAATTACTCATGAATTTATTAGATGAATTAACTGCAGCAGAGCTATCAGCAAATACACCAGAGGAATTACTGGAGATCAAGGGATGGGAACAAGAATTCCCAGAGATTTCATTCAGCTTAGCAGCTCTGTTTGCAATCTTATTTTGACATCGCCGATAGACATTTGATCCAGCACTGCTTCTTCCCGGAAATGATTTCAGTGAATAAGCATAGTCAGGCACGGTTGCTCTTAACCCCTTATGTTGATCAATTTTTGACCTATTAAGAGGTGTAGGGAGAACAAGTTGCAGGCCATCCATAATTACTCCAGATGCTAAATTAGTATGACCGAGACACCACCCAGGTAATGCAACAATTTTCCAGTTTCCATCAGGCTCAAAAGTAAGGAACGCAAGGATGGGGCACCTGATAAACAATAGCAAAACTTAAAAGTAGGCCCTTCCACATGTCCACATTACATTTAAAGAAACAAGAGCATGAGAAGCTTTCTGATGATGGTTGTGCATTGAGAAGCCAAAAGCAACCACTAACAAATATAGAAGCTTCGACATTTTTATTTAAATTAACAAATTGAGCAAGTAATTCATTTAAAAAAAAAAAAAAAGGTGTTTTACTGATATACTCCTATCCTACTGTATTATTTTAACCGTCAACCATCTAAAAGGAATCTCAGCCCCCAAAATAAATATGTATTTTGAATTGTTAATATAAGAACAAGAAAAAAGAGCAGCCAAAAGAACAAGGATCAGAAGCTTAAGAATTTATCCGCTGAAAAAGGGGCAACTTATTAACATGGGAATAAATATTGATAATTGAAATGGGGACCATATTTACTCCTAATGGTGTAGCATGCTTTGCATAGAATTTCTATCATGAAAACTATTTTAGTGGCATTCTATAGTGAGAAATATATTTCTAATGAAATTTTACTTAGAGGACAAAAAGATAGACGAGCAATTCATTGGTCCACTACTTTCAAGAAATGAAATCGAAATCAATGAAATTAATACAAAAGGTGAATAAGATATGATTGGTCACAAGAAGATTTTACCCGCTATCAGAGTTGCTTCCTGAAAGAGCAGATTCTTCACAATCCTGAAGAAACAGAAGATAATCATTTCAAAGTGGTAATGAAAAATTGCCTAAAAGAAAAGTCAAAAACACATGCCAAAAAGTAACTTCATCCAATTTTTCTGACCTTAAAAGGTGTTGTAGATATCTGTTGCTGTTCTTGATTCCTCAAGGAGTCCTTTCCTGGCGTTGAAACTTCTGGACTTTCAGTGCTTATGTCTTCAAGGACACAATGCATCTTCCTTTCCTGCCAATATCAGCAACATAAGCAAAATCTATAAACTAAAAGCAAAGTAAGGATCAAGCAAATCTATGAACAGTCACTTTGGCAACTTTCAAGCCTAAATCAGAATAAGAAAAAAAATATAAATCCCCTTTTTTTTTGGGGGGGGGGGGGGATTGATCCAAGGAAAAATGGCGATTTGCTTGAACATTATGAATTGGCGAGCAAGGAAGCAAACTTTAACCCAAGAAAAAATGCAACAGTGGTAGTCAAATTACAATTACTACAACCAGTGAAGAGATATCAGAAGAACATTAGGTAAAATAAAAAATTAGAAATTCCAAAACAGTTGATCAATTAGATAGGAATATCAATATTAAAAATCACAGCAGAAACAAAATGTGATATCAAATTGCAGGTATAAATAGCTGACACAACAGTTCTTTGGCGCAGAGTGTGAGTGGAAACCAAAAAGGTGAAAAGCATCTTGCTTATACAGGAAAGAACTGTAATAGCACAAGCCAACTTTATAGAAAATCTTGAGTCACATACAAAGTTCCGAAGTTAACAAAATACCTGACCTTTGCAATCTTTGGATCCAACTTATCAATTCCAACATAATAAATGGTAAATAAACCCAAATAATTTGAACCTCAACCACCATAAATATTATCCATAATCAAGCACATTTCAGGAAGATCAAGCGACCTTGAGGGCCATTATTCCACTAAAGTGCAGATAGCAGTTGACTGATACGCTCATTAAGGCATCCGTCCTCTTCATTTCTTGATCATCAATCAATGAATTTGAAAGAATTGAAAGGCATGTGCAGAAGAGGAACGAATGCAATTCCAACTCGCAGAAAAAAATATGCAGGAATGGAGAAACCCCAAGTTGGATTCTCCCAAAATGTATTGATATCTATCTACCAGTCAAAAGATAGGAGTTCTTCTAATTTAACCAAAACCTCACTAAACTGACCTTTCCATTTGATCCAATAAATTAAACAAACGCCATTTCGAAAATTCTAAAAGTTGTAAAGAAAAAGAAAGGGGGGAATAACAAAACAATCAAACTTCAGCGACTACAGCTTTTGAACCGTTAAGACGAAATATGCGAATGAATTTGACTGCGCCACAAACTTTCTGCCTAAATTATCTCAAAGAAAGAAAGCGTATCCTTAGCCAGAAAATTCGCCCCCATATTTAGGAACGGATTGATCACAAGAATGCACAAGAACACCTAAATTAGCCAAAGATTTCCTATATTTAGATTTCGCCGACCGCACAGCACGCGCAAAAGATCAAAATAGATATACAAAAGAAGGGACGAACCACAGAAAGAAGCACACTCACTGATCATTTCCAAAGCCAATAAAACAATCATCAAACAAACAAAAACCGCAGATGACTAGAAAAGGGTCTTATCACAAACACATTGAAAAAGACAGTAAAGTCATGGGTAGTTGAAATAGTCGCGAGTAGCGTAATGATCAAAGCTTTAATAAGACGAACCATGATATGACTTCCACAGGGTCTGCACAGCTTTCGCTCTGCTTCTTTCTTCCCAGCCTCAACAGCTTTCCTTTTCCTCCAGTAATCTCCCGTCTTGGTTTGAATTATCTCCCTTCGATCCCCCCTTTATATCCCCGTCTCTCTCTCTCTCTTTCCCCTTCCTTCTTTGGAAAATCTCCTCGCGTATCGAAAATTGGCACAGCTGTGATGATCAGTTTTAGCGACCCAAACACTGAGGAGTGACTAGTAAGGACGTTGAGTCATCCCTGTGCACGGAACGGACACTGAAATGAAATGTGATGGGAAAAAACGGAAGAAAAAGGACTGAAAATAAATGATTTTTTACTGCAAATTCATGAATTGATCGACTAAGAAGAAAACTTAATTACGGCATTAATAAATCAGAAAAAAGATTAGTACTACATTTTTTTTAAATATTGATGGGTACAGAAATTATTGGTGGTAGAAGCCAAGTGTAAAACATGCACAGAAACGTAACGATTCTAGGCGGACGTCAGAATGAGATATTTGGGGTTTGTTGGCCTCCTAAAAGAAAGATAGAAGCGTGAATTCTTGACTTTGTTGCCGTAAATTTTTCTTTTTTCCCTTTTTTTAAAAATTTTTAATGGTTTGTATTTAAAAAAAAATTTTAATGGTAGCCCAGAAGTTTTAACAACTTTAAAAAATGATAAAATGATACAACGCCACTTCAAATACATATTTAAAAAAAGTTTTAATGGTAGTATGTCATTATTTGACTTTATTTTAAAATTTTGCATATATATAGATTCCTTCTCAAAAAAATTAAAAAAGCATTATAATAAAAACATTTCTTTTCATTTTTCTTTTTCCTTTTCTTTTTTTTTGTGAAGTATTCTTTTTCCTTTTCTGAGGAAAAAAAAAGCTTTAATGGTAGCCCAAAAGTTTTAACACTTTTAAACAATATTTAAAGTCGTGATTTTAGGATAGTGCAATCAAACACATATTTTTCTGGTCACATATCAAAAAAAAAATTTAAATTTAATATGCCATTATTTGACATTATTTTAAAATTTTACATATTGAGACTCCTTCTCAAAAGAAGTTACATAAATATTGTCATAAAAACATTTCTTGTCATTTTTCAACTAAAAGAAGTCACTCATTCAACTCGCAATTTCATGTTTAAGAAGAACTTAAAGAATATGCTTGGTGTCATTAGGCTAAAAGATCTTAAGAAAAAGGTCTTAATGTACCATGTGTTTAATATCTGGTACGTGGGCCATCGGCCTACATGATATGTTAATTCTATAAGGGATTGATTTTATGAAAGTATACATATAATTAGAAGTTTTAAAAATAAATCACCCTGAATTCTTCAAATTCATAAATGCCATAAATGATAATAAAGGCTCAGAGCATAAAATGTCAAATAGTTTTTTTATTTGGATAATTTATGAATTTTTTTCAGGTTGGAATAGAAGGAAATAAACGTGGATATTATCTGTATCTCATTTTATCCTTGTCACCTAAGTTGGCATCATATGGCATTTATGTGTAATATACCCATGTGATCTTATTTATAAGGTATTTTTAACATATTTTACACAAGAAAAATCTTAAATTGCATTAACTTTCTATTAAAATATAATAACTTTCTACATTTACCCTTATTTAATATATATATACACTTTTTTTTACAAAAATAACCATCTATACTATAATAAATAAAGGATAAAATAATACATTCATATTAAAAATTTAATAAAGTGACTTATAAATAGGACAAAGAAAAATATCCTCTCTTTGCCCTATAAATAGGACCAGAGGAGTAATAAAGATAGAAAGAAGAAAATGAATTGCAATCTGTTCCTTATATAAGCATTACTCAAGATTTATTATAATAGACTAAAAAAAGAAAGTCAATATCCTTAATTATTTTTTTCAACAAAAATATGTTCTGCTAATAATATATAAAGATAATTAATTTTCATTTTTTCCCTTCTACTATTTTTTTCATTTGATAATAAGTACTGTCGTAATTTCCATTTTGTAACTTCCATGTCTTATGTTGGGAAAAAAATTCATATTTTGTAATTAATAAAGTTTTAAAAAAAATTGAGAAAGTTATTCATAATTGGGCCTGCAAATATTAAAAAAAAAAATATTTTAAAACAATCCACTTGCATCTTATTGGTTACTTGAGAAGATATTGTAGTATAATTTAACATTAAATGCATTTTCCAATGAACAAAGTATACAGAACACCTAATTTTCAAATAAAAAAGTGTTTAGATAGAAACGAAACTATGGTTTTAAAAATAATTTTATGGTATACAAAATTAATATGTGAAGAAATTTATCTCGATTTACGTAAAAGTACTTTTGAAAAGTACTTTCACAGCTTCCCAAATACCTCCTAAATTAAAGAGAGCACCATATCAGGTATGAAAATGTCAACTTGCACAGGACTTTAATACCCCAAAAAAAATCATATAAAATATTATCGAATACAGTTAAAACATCAAAAGAAGTAAAACAAAACAATATTTATTGGCAAAAACAGTATATGATTCTATACTTGCTAAGAAAAAAGTGAAATAAAATACATTAAAACAAAGTAGGAGCCTATCAAAAAAGAAACAAAAGGAAACAGGAGATGTTATCTTTAAGTAGCTATTGTCAATTAATGGCATTAAAGGGGAATATTAATGAGAAGAAAAAAACAGAATCCACATACAATGAATTGGAATCAATTTTAATGATAGTGCAGAAGTTTTTACTTATTTATAACTCAATTTTTATATTTTGACTTGATACAACTCAATTCCTATAAATAAAGACTGAGTTAGAAATGTGTCAAAACTACGAGAATCAAAAGATTAATTTTCCCTAATCTTTTATAGCCTATATTTAGTGATGCAGTTTTGGCCGAATATCGTTTCATATATTGTTGACTTACTCTTTTGTGTAAAAAAGAAAGTTGTGGTTTTAAGTCACAATTATAATTTTTGTTTTAAATACAAGATCCTAAGTTTGATACCACTGGTTATTGTTAATATGCTCTTTTAAATTAATTTAAAGAAGAAAAAAAAGTTGTGTCCTTAGGTTGCACAAATATCACTCCAAAACCATAGGATTAATAAGTGATTATATTCTTTTCTTCTTAAAGAACAGAACTGCGACAATATTATTTGGCCTGATATTTTTCGCATGTTTAAATCCTTCTCCAATGTTTATTCTTGTATTAATGATTATAGTTTCTTTAGTGTAGGCTCTTGTTTTTCTGTTACCGGTCATATGAACATCGTACTTTAAATGTTCTTTCAAGATAATTGTCCTTTTATTAAAAAAAAAAAAAATTTAAGTGTATATATAACAACTTATGATTATGGTTTAATAAACGGGCTAAAAGGAAGAGCAGGAGATAACTCGTGCATAGGACAATAAGAGGGTTTTACTAAACCTTAAACAAATTTCAGGCACATTTGGAGGATTTTTCAGCAATTTTACCTAATTTGTTTTGTTTTCCCTATTAATAAAATCATAACAGACATAGTTTAAACCACTTTTTATTCAGTTTCGAAATTTTAAATAAAATCTGAATAACGATAATGCAAGCCTTTGCTGATAAGTCGGTTGGTGAGGACTTAAATTATCGAGATAAGCTATTAAGCACGTTGTTGATAAGTAGTTCGGTAGGGATTTAAATGCTATATATCAATATAAGCACTTCGTTGATAAGTAATTGTGTGGATACAATTTAAGTTGTAGGACCCTTCGCGGCACCATCATGAAAATAAAATCCAACCAATTCATTCAATATGCTTATAACAAAATAAATTAAAAATTCGTGGTGGAACAATTGAGAAAGAAGCATTGAATTGAATGTAGAGAGTGATGTAACTGAAGGAATGCAATTCAATAAATGGCGTCCAATGAAAAAGCAAAGATAATAAAGTGGTTTTGGTTTAGTCAATTAATTAATTAATATTAATAATAATGTCTCTAACATTGACGCAAGCGGTGACCACGTGGCAATTATGTGGATTTGAAACATATTCACAAAAAAGTGTATTACGTGTATGGCGAATACGTGCTGTAGCCTTGCAGGTGTTAGGTGCTTCCTGTTAGGTGTTGGTCGCTTTTTACTTTGCAACAAAATCATAAGTAACGTTTAGGGCAGTATTATGGGTGGTAGGTATCCTGGGTTTATATATATATATATATATATATATATATATATATAAAAGTAATGCTTTCCAAATATTTATGATGTTTTAGGTATTTGAATTAGTTGCTATACATAAATGATGATACTGAAAATTAGATTAGTCAATAAACAAGTTTGAGATAATGATTTAAAATCAAAACGATGTCATTCCAAACTCAGCTTAAACAAAAAAGATAAGGAAATAAAATTTAACCCAGTTCAAAACCTTAGGAGGTATTTGACAACCCTCAAAAATGATTATCAGAAGCACTTTTTCGCAAAACGAAACAAACTCTTTTACATATTTATTTCGTAAACCGTAAAAGTAGTTTGGAACTACGGTTTAGCTTCTATCCAAACATCTCTTTAAACTGGTTACAAGACCAGTTTACTAGTTCATGGCTCATCAAACTAGGTTGGGTTTTAATTAGCATGATATA